TATGATGGTCTCCCACTCCATACATTTGCTGCAAAGTCCGTGATTTTGTTCTTCTTTATGGCTGCGTAATACTCCATCATGTGTATGTACCACATTTTCTTTATCAAGTCCACTTTCAATGGACAGCAGGGTTGGTTCCATTTTTTTTTTCTATTGTAGTACATCAATAAGCATGCATGTGCAGGTGTCATTTTTTATAGAATGATTGACATTCCTCAGGGTATATTCTCAGGAGAGGGATGGCTGGATTGTATGGAAGGCCAAAAACTAGTTCTTTTAGGAATTGCCGAACTGTTTTTCATAGAGGTTGAACTAGCTTGTATTCCCAACAACAGTGTAGAAGCGTTCCCTTTTCTCTGAACCCATGCCAACATCTGTTGGTTTTTGACTTACTAATGATAGCCATCCTTACCAGAATTAGTGAGGCTGAGCATTTTTTTATGTCTGTTGGCTGCTTGTATGTTGCCTTTTAGAAGTGGTTGTTCATATCCTTTGCCCACTTAAAATGGGGTTGCTTTTTTTTTCCTTTTATTTTGTTTAAGTTCCTTATAGAACCTAGATGTTAAGTCTTGGTCAGATGCATAATTTGCAAATATTTTTTCCCATTTTGTGGGTTGTCTTTTTACTCTCTGATTTTTTTTTTTTTGCTTTTGTTTTTGTTTTCTATGCAAAAGCTTTTTAGTTTGATGAGGCCCCCACTTACCTATTTTTGCTTTTATGGCATTCACTTTGGGGTACTTGGTCAAGAATTTGTGGCCTGCTCTGACATGCCTAAGGGCATTTCCAAAGTTTTCCTCTTGGATTCTTACAGTTTAAGGTTTTAGCTTTAGGTCTTTGATTCATGTTGAATTTATTTTTGTGATAGGTTTCATTCTTCTGCAGATGGTCAGCCAGTTTTCCCAGCACCATTTGCTAAATATGCTCTCCCTTCTCCAGTGATTGTTATTGGCAACTTTGTCAAAGATGAGTTGATTGAGAGACCGAGTCTTTGCTTCTAGAATCTCTGTCTTATTCCATTGGTCTATGTGCCTATTCTTGTACCAATACCAGGCTGTATGGTTACTGTAGCCTTTTAATAAAGTTTAAAGTCTGGAAGTGTGATACCTCCCGCTTTGTTCCTTTTGCTGAGGATTGTTTTGGCTATTCCTGCTCTTTTTTTTCCATATGAATTTCTGTATTGTTGTTACCAGGTCTGAGAAAAATGATTTTGGTAATTTGATGGGTAATGCACTGAATCTGTAGATTGCCTTGGGTAGCACAGACATCTTGACAATATTGTTTTTTTCAATCCATGAGTATGGAATGTTTTTCCATTTGTTTGTGTCATCCTTGAGCACATACACCAAATACATAAGTTTTTTAAAATTAATTTTTTTGCCTAGGATTAACCCTGAGTCAAGGATAAGAAAGAAAATTAATCTCACCCCCTTCACTAGACCTTAGATAAATACTACAGTCATGCTGCTTTGCAGGCAGTGGACTCAGATTTCTTAGGTAACCCAAGAAATTAGCCCTGGCTCACTTCATAGTTTCTATGAGAAAAATGTGTTCAAATTTGAATAGCAGAACCTCTAATGTTATAAGTCTGAGCTCTTTCAAAATCTCCATTCTCAAGAATCTCACTGGTAGTCTGAATGCTGGGAGAGACCCACAAGAAAAATGACTACACTTACCAGCCCCGAACGGCAAGTTTGTGCTAAGGTTTATACTTGTTATCTGAGGTAGATGTTCTCACCTCTTACATATTATTAAATAATGAACTTCAATTCATTGTCAGCACTCAGAATAGCAAGTACTTAGTGTCTAGGAGCAGTCTTGGATTGTTGGGACTGCAGCCAGTCCTAAGTTAGAACTGTGGGTAGAGAATGCCCAGGAAGCCATACAAGTAAAGCAGGCAGTTGAATTGTAGATTAATTACAGTATTAATGACTTTTACTCTCTGCTCCAAAACAAAGGGATAAATTTCTATTTTCCATTCGTGATTGTCTTTCAGCTCCTTAGAACTATCATCTACTCCCCCATTGGAAAGTAAACAACGTAGAAATCTTCCAACCAAGATTCCTCTTCCAACTGCATTGACAAATGGATCCAAATCACGAAATTCCCAGAAAACGAAAGGTATTGTAATTCTGGTCATACATATATTTTCATGATGCATTGTATTAATCATCATTGTAAGTTGTCGGTAATCAGTGGTTATTAGTCATACAAAGCTAAGCTATGTTTTCATCCTCATTAGAAGGTTCATTTACATAGACCTGAAAGAAAAGAATTATCCTCCATTAATAATGTTCTTTTCTGATCTTTGTGCAGGTACAAATAAATTACTGGATAACAGACCACCTGCCCTAGCAAAATTCCTCCCAAATTGTCAAGAACTAGGCAACACCAGTAGTTCAGAGGGTGAAAAAGACTCTCCTCCACCAGAGTGGGATTCTGTGCCAGTTCACAAACCCGGCAGCTGTAAGTATGGTTTAGAAATCATGAGGCTACACTTACCCACAGCCCAGCCCACTCTTGCCATGGAGCTTTCTGGGGCATAAAAGAAGGCCCACTATCAGTGATCTGCTGGGGCCAAACTGGTACCAGCTGGCAGAGCCCATTGTTAACTAGTCTAGCTAGTTGCTAAACTGTCATGGGTTGAAATCAGCCCTGGTAGGAGTATTTACATCAGGGCTGCCTTTTTTTTTTTTAATTGGAGTCTCACTCCATCACCCAAGCTGGAGTGCAGTGGCATGCTCATGGCCACCCCAGCGTCGACCTGCTGGGCTCCGGTGATCCTTCCACCTCAGCCTTCCAAGTAGCCAAAACTACCGGCGCGCGCTACCACGCCCGGCTAATAGGGCTGCTTATTTCCAGGGAGCTGGTGTCCCTGCACACCACTGCCCACTGTACAAAATGGAATGATCTGCTTAGAGTGACTAGTCATCCAAAGAACTGTTTGCTTTATAAGAGCGTTGACTCTTCAGTCCTTTACCTGACTAGTTCCTCTTGCATTTATAGTGTAATCGCTTTTGTGAAAGTTCGATTCACTCTCAACTTTACTGACATCTTTTACATGAACAACTTACATGAAGGATGACAAATCTTGAACAAGCAATTATTTTTCCCACTACCTTCTTGACCGTGTTTCTCTGATTTCACTGGCAGTAAATCAAGACAGTATGCACAGTTGACTGATACAAGATAGAAGTCCTCACTCTGTAGATACTTTTGAGCTGAAATAGGAGACAACAGAAAAAAGGGCAGGCCTAACAGCAGCGATTCAGGATCAAGAGAGATCCTAGCCTCAGGACTGATTTATCTCCACTCATGACTGTGCTAGAGTAAACTTGGATTTGGCCTGTTTGTACTAAAGGGGAGAGAACGAAAACCAAAAGGACAAATCAGCTTCAGCAACAGTCAGATCATTTTAGGTGAAGGGGATTAAAATGAAGAGTGGTTGTCTAAGCACTTAGTGAGCTGAATGAGGACACAGAACCTGGAAACTTGGGTAAGATGTCCGTTCACACTTCTTTACCTTCTCATCTGTGTAAATATGCCCTGGAAGGAGATGCTTTCTGTGTTAAAGCCTGTAGCTCCTATTTGCCATGAGATTTTCCAGCACCTTTTAGTACTATTTTTTGCCTGGAGTGAGACGTAATCCCAAATTATTGGTCATTCAAGCAATCTTGACCCATGTGTCCAAGTAGAATGTTTTTGGTTCCTTAAAGCCTCTCCAAGGTTTCAGCTGGACATTGGTCCTTGGCTTGATACTCTGTGATTTGGGCAGTTTCCCACTAAATAGACACCACTTTCAGCACCGGGACCATGGTGTCCCAAGAACTGGTTTCATAGGACCATTCTGAGGCCCAGTGAGGTAACACTAGATCTGCTGGTAAAATAACCACACAAGTGTACAGAATCATGTGGAGAGAGGGAGTGTCAGCCAGACACAACCACAAGACACTCAGCTGACTGGCAGTGTCACCACTTAGCACCTGAGCCATGTCTTGGTATCTCACTCCTCTGCTGCACTGGCCCTATGAAGCGCATTCCACTGAGAGCTACCCCAAGCATGTGGTGCGCGCCCCTCCAGGACAGGCACCCTCAAGACAAGCTAGTGCACTCAAGGCAGCCCATTCCAAGTGTAGGCAGTTCACAAGGGGACAAGTCACTTGTGGGGCAGGGGAGGCCAGAGAAAGTGTCATACGAGAGGTGGCTAGGGATGGATTGAACTGTTGTACAAACAGTGACCCTACCATGTAGACATGGTATCAGATGGGAAGCCGGTTCACACAGGAGGTGGATGTGAGATGGGCCCTGGGCACGGTCAGGTCAGCAAAACAGCAGAGGGGATCAGGGAGGGGTTGCCACTAATCAAGGATGAGAGCAGGTGGGTTGGAGACAAGGTGAGCAAGGAGCTAGCGCCACTGACAGGGGCAGGAGAGAGGACAGAAGGTGCCCCGAAGATGGGTGGTGGTGAGCGTAGTCATCCAAGAGAGCTGGGCTTTGCTTGGCAGTGCCACACAGGGGTCTTGATAAGCCAAGGCACAATGAGCCTTATCCAGGCGCTGAGCCCTGGAGGTTCAGAGAGGAGCACCTGGTGCTGGAGAGAACACCAGGGAAGCAGAGGCCACGGGCAGCGAGGCTGCAGTTATGGAAGTGAGGAGATGGAAAAAGCAGAGCAGAGTATGCTCCCAGGAGACAGAGACTGCAGGCAAACGAGACCAGCTGGGAGTGAGCGGGCAGGTGCTGAGCTGGGCAGGGCTGGGCCGAACAGTTGTAGCCCTCAAACACCGGGAGCTCACAGGGTCAGAACACCTCCTGACCCTTCCTCGTGTGTGGTGTCAGAGGCAGCACCAAGGTGCACACAATAAATGTGCAGAATGGTGCATTTTTCTGGTAAAAGTTAGACATGGTTCCTTTTAGTGAGCAGATAAATATTATTTTATGACAATGAATTTTTGTTTTAAATTTTTACACAGCTGTGTAGAGATTACCTTCAAGGATACAGGAATATGGTAGCTCTCATCCTGGAAAGTAAGGGTCGGAACTGCACACACCAGCCGTGCTGGCAGACGAGGTATCCTTGTCATTGGAGAACTTGGGAATTTAGCCTAGGGCACTACATCTGCCACAGATGTGAGGCTGTGTGCGGGCACAAGCTCTTTTGAGTCCTGAAGCAGTGGCTTCTGCTGCCCATCCCTGGACAATATGGAAAGCCGTCTTCCTGCTGAATGGGAAAAGTTAAGAGGTTGACTAAACCCATCCAAGAATGCCCTGCACTTAGCAGGACAGAGTGCACTTGTGACTGCCAAAGGCCCTAGTGCACAGGATGCCACTTCCCTTCCTTTTCTTCAGAACTTTTGGAGGAGTGCATGGGAGCTGTCATTTGTTTTCTCCTTTGTTTAGGCTCTTGAGTTCTGCATAGTCTTAGCTAGAACATCAAAAGTAACTGATTTTGAAGAGTACTAATCAGTGTCCCACATTAATGAGACCTCTTTTTTTGATTTCCAGCTACTGATAGCCTTTATAAACTCTCTCTGCAAACCCTCAACGCAGACATTTTCTTAAAACAACGCCAGACCTCACCGACACCTGCCTCTCCGTCTCCCCCCCGCCCCTTGCCTGTTCGCCTCCCTGGGCAGCTACAGCAGCATTGTCAACAGCAGCTCCGGCAGGTGGGCCCCCGCTCCCTTCCTGGCCCTCAGGTCTGGAGCATCTGGATGTCGCTCCCTTTGGGGGAAACGCCATCCCGTGTTGCTTCTGAAGGCCACCGTTTTGTGGTTGTTGGCCCCCTTCCCCGGGGACCAGCACTCCCTTGCTGTGCCTGTGTCCACCCCACCCCCACCTCCATCCCCAGCCATAACCTGTTCCTGTTCTGACTCATTCATTCTTGTCACCCATGGACTGAGAAATGTGTTGTTTAACTTGTCGGAGTTACGTTCTAGTTGGACAGTCAGTGAGCATTTACTAAGCAGTAATGAAATCCTCAGGGAGGATTTGTATGAGTTGGGAATATGGATATTGGTGATGTTTATTTTGACCTGTGGGCAGCTTGGCTTAGGACTTTAGAAGGGCAGGATCTGGTTGAAAACTGTTGTGTAGGACGAGATTCCGCAGTAGGTGACCTGTTCCCACAGGAAGGCAGCCCCTGACTATGCAGACAGGACACATGAGCCCAACAATCACGAGAGTCATGGACAGCATTCTCACTGTGTGCCAGCACCGTCTCGCCGTCACTTGGGCTTCAGTGTGCCATGTCTTCCCATCAGGTCCTTCCATGATTGCCAGAGGCAGTGACCACTGAGGCTAGGGGCAGCTGCCCTGCTTAGGGCCCTCAACACAGTGGACACCTTGCCCTGTCCTGACAGGAAAGGATATGCCCCAGGACCCAGACCCCGTCCTGTGTGTGGAGGCCTGCCAGCGAGCTGCTCTCCCACTGTGCTTCTCTTCCTAGCAATCTCTAAGATGTGATTGCAGCCTTTTCCAGTTCCTAAACTGTGATCCCTGCCCTAGTCTCTTTCATAGTGTCCTTTATCATTTTCTTGCCTTTCCCTAGAAATCCCCTTATTTTACATCTCATTAAGCAGTCTGGGGTCTAAAACATTTTATACAAGGCTAAGCTGTGCTCTGTGAACTGCTCTAGGCTGTTTCCAGGTCCCTGCCACAAAACTCAGGCCCAGCCCCAGTGAAGCACATGGCGGGTCAGTCCTGCTAACCCCTCACCCCCGAGGCAAGTGTCCCGGCACTCCACAGTGGGCACTGCTGACAAGGAATGAGTTCTGTCTTTGCTTCTTCTTCAAGTGACCCTAAAACAAAGCAGCCAAATGGAGGCAAACACAAGTTGACAAAAGCAGCCTCCCTCCCTGGCAAGAATGGCAACCCCACTTTTGCTGCAGTCACAGCTGGTTACAACAAGAGCCCAGGTGAGTGTCTTTGCTTCAGAAACCTGCCACACCTGGGTGTCAGGCAGGTGGAATGACCTCTGTCCTTACATGCTTTGATTGATTCCAATCCATTGTTACAGGTGGGAATGGCTTTGCTAAAGTTCCTTCAAACAAAACAGATTTTTCCAGCAGTCTTGGCATTGCACATGCTCCTGTTGACAGCGATGGCTCAGACAGGTACAGTGAACCATTCTTAGTCACTAGAAAGATAGATTTCTTGGGTCAGATTGGTGTCTTCTGTCCATAGATGGGTTTCCAGGGATTTCCTTCCCTGGTTCACAAGTAAGCATTTGTCAGCAGTGGTCATGCACCTCTAAGAAATCTTGTCTGCTGGGCGGAAGCAGAAAGCCAGCTGCTATGCTTCCCCCAGTGGCTTTCCATGTAGAGGGTGGAGGCACCCACCCCTGCCTCAGCCCAGCAGACGTGCGTATCACACCTGCTCTCACTCTCTCCGTTATCATGGTCTATGTGAGAAAGGATATGATGTGATCTTTAGAAATAGAAGAGCAAGTGTATTTGGGAGGAAGGAAATGGGAGTAAATACCAGACAGTGTATAGGAAGTGATCGGCTATGCCACTTTCTTGACACAGCAGCAACTGTTCCTACAGTGGACGTGGTTGCCAATCTCAGATTGGTAGCAGTAACAAAGCTTGTCAGTAAAATGGAACCCCAGGTCACCTCTTTTGCACTAACAGGAAATGAGTCCTGGATTCAACATAATTTTTAAATAATTTTTCATTACCAAAAAAGTAAACAGAAGGAAAAATATCTGTTTTCCCTGCCAAACACTTACTTGAGCCAGGCTGTCAGCTAGTGACAGGGTGTTAGGAGCTCTGAAGTGCTTTCAACTTACCCCTTGTGTGGGCAGCCATTTCTGGTTCTTCTTTTGTTTTTGTTTTAATATTTGAGTACCCCAGTTGAAGCGGTGTGTCCCATCTGTGATGCTGTGCATAATGGATCCTTTTTCACTAACTGTCATCCATTTTTGTGTGTTGCATTTTCCTCTTGCAACATTTAGCTCGGGTTTGTGGAGTCCCGTCAGCAACCCAAGCAGCCCTGACTTCACACCCCTCAATTCTTTCTCGGTCTTTGGAAATTCTTTTAATCTAACTGGTGGTGAGTGTTTAACGCTAGACCTGTGACTAATAAGCCTGTGGATAAAGGAAGGAAATGGAGGTGTGGACTCGTGTGTTGGAGAACAGAGCATGGAAGGAGGCCCAGCAGGAAGCTCCTGGGAAGGACCCTTCCCCTCTCTCCTGCTCCTACCCAGAGGGCAGTGGCACAGCTCAATACTGGGTGTGGGTGCCTGTTGGGGTGTGTTCATTGGTTCGCATTTGAGGGCTTCACAAAGGAATTATGGTCTGAAGTAGGACTCCTGGGCAGGGCCCCTCCTTTTTCTCTTGCTGTCCAGAATTGGACGCCATAATAGGAGTTTTGCATTTACCATAATGCTGGAGTTGGGGAATGTTTGCATTATGACATCATCACTGCGTGTGGGAAGAGAATCAGGTCCGTCCACTTGTGCTTGAGACATCCTTGCCTCCAGCCCCCTGGAGTGTGGTGGGGCTGGCAGAGAGGGTGTGGTGGCTCCCAGGGAGCAGCAGTGGGATGTGTGCCACTGAGTGAAGTCCCATCATGGCACAGTAAAATATGGACTTGATGCCTGTTGCTTTATTTTCAGAAGTTTTCAGCAAACTCGGGCTGTCTCGATCATGCAACCAGGCCTCGCAGAGGAGCTGGAATGAGTTTAATAATGGTCCTTCGTACCTTTGGGACTCTCCCGGGACAGTTGCCAGTACATCCTGGCCAGCCAGTTCTAGCTCCCCAACTCACACAGCCACAGTGAGTATTCAGGGCTGGGGCCTGGCCACTTGTCATCTTTGTACTTGCTGTCACTTGAATACACTGACGGTGTCATAAACAACAAGCAGCAGTGTGAAAGGGGTGGCTTGGTACTTTTATTGTCTCTGTTGCTTTGTCTTCATATTCTGCCAAAATGATCCACCAGTGTTCTTCAGAGCCATTATAGTCAGAAACTTTAGGAAACAACTGAGCAGCTGTGAGGTGTTGGTCTCTGGAGCCCCTCCTAGGGTTATTTTCTGCCTTTTCCCATCGTGGTTATGGCTCCTCGTGGGTCCAGATAGTGGCTGAACACTGCCTCCACCGTCTGTGTGATAGCCACAGGGTCCCGGAAGCAAGCTGGGAAGTTGCTTTTATTTTGTGTCTGAGAAACCCCTGTCTCTTAGCTGAGCTTTCTAGTGTGCATTTGTTTTCTTCTCACCCCAATTTTTCTGCAAAGGGCATGCTCCAAAAAAGTGTTCTTACCAAGGAAAACAATTGTGGTTCAGCTTTCATAAAATTATCACAGGAAAATATGACCCCACTGTGTTTGCTTCTTTATTCTCAGGAAACCCAAGTTCCACATGTACGGTTTAACGGTAGATAGTTCAGTTTCATGAATCTTAACATTCATAGATTTCCTTCAGTTTTAAAAGTACCTTAGCCGTTCTTTAAAACAGGGTCAGCAACCTTTCTGTAAAGAGTCACATGGTTAAATATCTGAGGTTTTGCAGGCCACACCACTTCTGTTGCAGCTGTCAAACTCTGCCAGGCAGCACAGAAGTGGCCACAGACAGGAGGTAAACTGGTGGGTGCAGCTGCGTTCTCATAGAACTCTCGTTTGCACAGCAGGCAGGGCTGGGCCTGGTCCTTGGCTGTCATTTGACAACCCTTCTTCAGGGCATCAGACCATCTGCTAGCCTCTGGGACGGCGATACACAGAAAACATTTGTTTTAAAGTAAATGTGAAAGAAACATGTGCTCAGCCTCCTCCCTCGCATAGCCTTTCCTGCTTTACCCTCTGCCCACTGGCTCAGGGCTGGATCTCTCTGTTTTGTCACAGTCGATCCTTGGCAACACCAGCGGCCTGTGGTCCACCACTCCGTTTAGCAACTCCATTTGGTCCAGCAACCTCAGCAGCGCCCTTCCCTTCACCACGCCAGCAAACACGCTGGCAAGCATCGGCCTCATGGGTGCAGAAAACTCCGTTGTTGCGCATGTTCCTTCTGCCTTCAGCCCAGGCGACGACTTGGGACAGACCTACAACCCGTGGCGGATATGGAGCCCCACAATCGGAAGGAGGAGCTCCGACCCTTGGTCTAATTCGCACTTCCCTCATGAGAATTAAAATTAGGCAAAAAAAACAGTGGCCCCCATCTGGATCATGGTCTGCCAGTTTCTGAGACACCTTTTTCAGGCTCTTATTGCTGCGACTCCCCTCCCCCCACCTTTGCAAAGCAGACTCAAGCAGGGTAGGCTCCGACCACTCACTTCTTTCAGATCTTTCTTGCAAGTAAGATGATAAGAGATTTGCTGTTGTACTTTTAGAAAAAAGTCTGAACTCAGCCACAAACTCTAGTAAGACCTGTACATCTGAGAACCTTACCTGTTGCCACACTTACCACCTGTCTTTCTCCATGCTTTATTCATCTGTACGAACACAGATTTGACATTACAACTAGGGAAATAATTTGAGTTAATTCAGAAGTCCTGGCATGTGACAATTTTGTTAAATTACCAAGTTTGGTTTTTAATAATTTCACAATATTATGCGCCAAGATCTAATTTTAAAACTGTATGAGGACTTTGTGCTGAAAATACAGAGTATTTTTTTAAAGTAAGGCTGTCTTGGTTTAAAAGCAGATTACAGAAATGTAAGTCCACTTAACAGTGAATGAATGTAAAAACATTCAGTTGAGACCATCTGCATTTTCTGTGCTGTTTGTACTTGAGGTATGTAACATTTGTATACCTGGGTTTATTTTAAAGGTGAACCGAAATGCACATAGCCAAGTCTTGAGATACAAGATTGAATGTGTATTTCTTAAAAATACAACTTTGTGTTGTACTTTGAAATAAATGATGCTTTTTTTCAAAAGCCTTGAGTTGTTTTGTTTTATTTTTACATGCAAGGTGCATTTGTTTGGATTTTCTCACACCAAAGTAAGGCATCCTTACTTACTCTGTTTTACTCTGTGGAGTTGACAGGTGAGGGTGGTGTTTGCTTTCTCGTAGCTGGAATGCCCTGTGGTTTCGTGGGATCTGTGTATTCCTATGGTAGTTGCGGAGGCTCCTTGAGAGAAAATGACTTGGAAGCCTGTCTGTGTTCACCCAGTGATCATTTTCCCTCTGCCACTGTCCTAAACAGAGAGGCCTCAAGAAAGCAGTCATCACTGTCATTTATGGTCCGTGCCCTGCGTCAGGCACGTGACCACACCTTGGCCCACCTGGGGTTACTCACTTTAACTTGAGGAACTCCACCCTGAGAGGCTGGTGGACTTGTCACTGGCATGGCAGGACCGCACGGTCCCCCGCTGTGCCATCTCCCCTCTGGTCACAGTTGACGTTCTCTGAAAGGGCTCTGAGCCCAACTTACCACTGTGTTTTCTGAGCTTGGCCAACCTGTCTCACACTTTAGCCTGAGGAAGTTGTGCGGTGAGTGGAGGTTGGAGGAGAGAAAGGACGTGGAGGCGGAGCAGCCGGGAGTTGGAGAGGTGGCCTGGGGGAGGCCACGAGGACCGCTGCAGGAGCTCCCTGAAGTGCCACAGCATGAAGGACTCCTTTCAGTTCTGGCCTGGGGAGACAATGAGGGGGAAATTTGGGCTAGCCTGGGGGGCTGAAACACTTCCATTTACCAGCCCATATTGCTATCCCTGAAACCGGGCTGGATGCAGTCATGGGATGAGTCCTGGGTAGCACTGACACGGGGTGCCTGTCATGGGGCCTCCATACTGGAAACATCCGATTGTAAGTTGCCGAAGTATAGTGTACCCATCTGATTTTTTTTCAAGAAGCATGCTGACCCTTTTCCACTTTTAAGACTCCTACAGCTTCTCCATGGCCTCTATATCTACACAGACTCCAGGTGAATTTCAGTACGCCATGATGCAGCAGTTTGGTTTAATCTTTCAGAAAGTTTTGCCTATCCCAACTTGGTTTTCTCATCCTCTTGCTTCTGGTCTACTTTATTTATTTTTAAATTTTTAATTTTTTTTCTTTTTTTGAGTTGGAGTTTCACCCAGGCTGGAGTGCAGTGGTATGCTCACAGCCACTGCACTCTGTCACCCAGGTTGGAGTGCAGTGGCACACTCACAGCCACCCCAGTGTAGACCTGCTGGGCTTAGGTGATCCTTCCACCTCAGCCTTCTAAGTAGCCGGAACTACAGGCACACACTACCATGCCCGGCTAATGTTTTGATTCACTGTATAGATGAGGTCTCACCAAGTTGCCCAGGCTGTTCTCAAACCATGGGCTCAGGCAATCCCCTCATCTAGGCCTCCCAAAGTGCTGGGGTTACAGTCTTGAGCCACCGCACCCAGCCTCTGGTCTATTTTAAAACCAGTCTTTGCTAAGTAACTAGGAGACGCTAGACATAAATGTTCTGTCTGAGATCAATGAAATCACATTGTCCCCCTGAAGGCCGGAGGTATTCCTTTATAGCCACACAAATAGACTAGGACATACAGTTATTAAACTCTAAAGTTCTGCTTTTAATCACTCTCCTTGTTTTCTCCAATCTAGAAAAATAGAATTGATGGGATGTTGAAAGTAAAAGTAGCAAACTTCTCAGAAACCTCTGAAATTCTGTCTTGAGAGATTACTGTTAACATCATATTTATAAGACCAACCACCTCTGGGTCCTATAGGTTGCTTCTTTATGAATTAATAACATGCTACTGCATACAATTTGAAACTGTACCCATCTTAGATTGTACGTGATGACAGACATCTTATTTCCAGCTTTATCTCAACCGATGAGAACTGGACAGAATATCCAGAACGCCAGCCTTGTACTTGAGGAACGTGACATCTGTATACCTGGATCTGTAACTTCTAGGCGAAAGGCATGCAGACATGACATTGATTCCTATTATCATAAATGATACTTATGTTCACCATATGTGTCAAGGGGAACGGGTCTTTGCAAACCTACCTCCAAAGTCCAAGGGAGCTGAGAGGCTGAAGATAGAGGCTGACAAATCCAGTTTCTCAGAAAGAAACATTTCGTAGGGACTCACAAACGGAAGTCATGTCTGTGTCTCAGGCGGTGAGATGGTGGAGCCCCACACCATTACCCCCCAGACCCAGGGCGTACAGACCACAGGGAAGGGGTGACTCAAGAGATGTGTGGGACAACTGAAGTGCGAGAACATCGAGACTGTTTGACTGAAGGGTAAATGTGTGCTCTTAACAAGGAATAACACACAAACGGGAAATCTTGAAGGCCTTCCCAGAACTGGGGCTAATCAGAAGCGAACATGGCGGATTAGCCTCCAAGGTGGAGTTGCTTTAGCCCCCAAACCATGCAGTCAGCGCTTTAAGGACACTTGTCTGCCACACACTTATCCTGTGTATTCAGAGTGGTTGAATATTTCCAGATGCTTACAACGACCACCTCTCCAGTCGTCCGTTCTTTAGAAGAATACCCAGTAATTCAAAATAAAATTATCATAGGTAATTCAGAAACCATGCAGTAGGAATCATTCACCTGTTCTTCATATGCGCTTTGCAAACTACAATTCCCACCAAGGGAATAAATCAATTAGAGATGGAAATTCAAAACAAACATTAAATTTAGTCATAAGTGAGACCACTCTGTTCTGAAAGTCCAACAAACTCATGGAAATTAGAGTTGTCAAAGGCAATCATATATCCCACATTTCCTCTTAGCCAGCAAAGGGACAAGTTATGCCGTACTTGGCCAGCAAATATTCCTTTTTGATATCTGTCAAAAACACTACAGCAAAAATAGGACGGTTTGTGACTATTAAAAATAAAAAGCTGGCTGGGTGATATGGTCCATGCACTTTGGGATATGGTCCCAGCACTTTGGGAGGCTGAGGCAGAAAGATCACTTGAGGTCAAGAGTTCAAGAGTGAGACCCTATCTCTACCAAAAAAAGAAAACCAAACCACCTGGTTTCTGGGACATGTTTCCATTGCAGGGGGAGGGACAGTGGGGAGGTAAGGTCCATAATCTGGGCTCTTGTCGTGGAGACCTAGGGTTTTTGAACACTGATGCTCGACATTTCTCCCCTCATGCAGTGCAACAACTTGCATCACAACAGAGGAAAAAAGATGATCCTAGTGTGACGATAGTCTGTGTTCAATAGACACTCTTCAGCCTCCAATCTAGAGCAAGCCCTGACTCCGTAAATGCTCCCCTCCCCCATAACCTCACCAAAGCCCAGACCCCACACTGTCTGCTTTCTAGCACCCTCTTACGTGGCTTCCAGTGGCATGTACGCCCCCCGCCCACCACACAAGGAACAAGCCTGACTTGTTTGCTCCAGGTGTGTTGCTGCTGGTGTCTGGCAAAGGGCACTGACAGTTCGGGTGCACGTGAGGGCGAGGGCCTTAGGATGAGCATGATGTGAGCTCTAGTCCTGGCTCTGCCACTTTACACTAATCGTGGGCCTTGGGCACACTCTGCTGCTCCCAGAGCCTCCGTTTCCCCACATCCAAAACAAACGGCCTATTCCAGGAGGGTGGTGTGGAAAACAGATGAGACGAGGCTAAATATAGGAAAATGGTAGCACTTCTGATTCTTAGCCATTGCTGTGGTAAATTATCGCAAAGGCTAGACCTCTAGAAATGCAAATCACAAAGGTTAGACCTCCAGAAATGCAAGGTCCCTGGTGGGATGGCACTCATTTTGGTGGCAGTAATGGGGCCGCAGACCTGGAGCCCCCGGGCTCTTTGCCATAGCAGGGACCCCTCTGCTCTGCCACCCACCCTGCACCATACCACCAGGTTCGCTGCCAGCACGGGGTTGCCGTTTCCCTCAGCCCCAGGCTGTCAGCACGCACTAAGGCAGCAGGCCAGGGGCAAGTTCCTTGGAGGGACTGGGTTTGGAGAAGGTGTCTACACGTGGCCAGACCCTTCCTTCCGGTCACTGGGGGGAGAGAAGAGTGTATCAGATCTCTATACCACAAAGCACCACACCACCTCCCTGGCCAAGTGGCCATGCGAGGTGGCAAGTGTCACTGCAGTCAGCATCTATCTGCAGCTGTATTCCTTCGCCCTCAGGCTCCTACCCACTTCTCCAGAATGCATGCTCGCAGGCACGTCTGCGTCTGCAGCCCTGATCGCTGAGGGCGCATCACCCAAGCCCAGGCAGGCAGGGTTTACTCTGCCTAGAAAGACCCATTGCCACCATCCCTTGGTCCCTGCCCTATAACTATAACTGTCGCATTAGGAAAAGGTTCTGATAACTGGTCTTTCTCTGTCATGACCGAGTTGGGTTTGGCCCCATCATCAGCAGTATGAATAAATGTTCCTAACACAGCCATTGTCCTGTTGTAGTAAACTATCAAAAAGTAAGAAACATGGGTCCAGACTAGATCATTTGACATCACAGAGCAGTGGAGAGGCAGTCAGGCGCAGTGGCTCACGCTTGTAATCCCAACATTTTGGGAGGCTGGGGCAGGAGGATCCCTTGAAGTCAGGAATTCGAGACCAGCCTGGGCAACAAAGCAAGACGCCCCCATCTCAAAAAAAATTTAAAAATACATTTAAAAAATGGCTCACACCTGTAGTCCCAGCTCAAGGGAGGCTGAGGCAGGAAGATCTCTTGTACCCGATTCAAGGCTGTACTGAGCTATGATCGCAGCCCAGCCTGGATGACAGAGTGAGACCCCATCTCAAAAAAAGGAAAACAAAAAATGGAGAGGCAAGCAGGGAAGCCACACATCTATTGTTTTATCACATTCTTGGAATGGGTTAGTAATAGGCCACCCCATTAAATGCGAAATTTCACCCTCAGTGTTTCCCATACCTGCGTTTTAAATCTAGGGACTTGGCTCCCAGATGCATTACAAGGACTACAAGGCATTTAGTCCTGACACTTGTCTGTATTAGAGCAGGCCACGGAGCAGC